CGCCCCGCCTGATCCCCAGCCGTCCCCACAGACACTGAGATCGACTGGAAGGCCTACATGGAGGAGGTGGAGGGGTTTGCCAATGGGACCCTCGACTACACCCAGCTGAAGGGCGACACCGGGCCGCTGGTGTGAGTGACGGGGGCGGCCAAGCTCCCCGCAGCTGCGGGCTCCCCAGGGGTCCTAGAGGACCAGGCAGGGCCTGGTCCCTCACTCCTGTCTCTCCACAGCTACCCCGCTGGCTTCGTCTACATCTTCCTGGGCCTGTACTACGCCACGGACCGCGGCACTGACATCCGCCTGGCGCAGTACCTCTTTGCCGGCCTCTACCTCCTCAACCTCCTCCTCGTCTTCCGCATCTACTGCCGAACCAACAAGGTAGCCTGGAGCCAGGGGGCCTCGCTGGCCGCCTCGGGGCCTCTCCTGCTCTGCTGAGTCCTCACCCGGGCAAAACGGGCTGGGCAGGAGGTCAGGGTTGGGGTCTGAGGTTTGGAGGGGCTCAGTGGCAGCGGGGGGTCCAGGACAGGCTGCTGATTGCCCTCGTGTCTCTCTGTTCCCTGCAAGGTCCCCCCGTATGTTTTTTTCTTCATGTGCTGCGCCTCCTACCGCATCCACTCCATCTTTGTCCTGCGGCTCTTTAATGACCCCGTCGCCATGGCCATCCTCTTCCTCGCCATCAACCTCTTCCTGGAGGAGCACTGGTCCTGGGGCTGCCTCCTCTTCAGGTGAGGGTCTGGGGGCAGGATGGGGGCAGCTCTCCATGGCGTGCTGCATGCGTGAGTGAACTCGGCCCCAGGGAGGGGGCTGCACTCGGCCCGGGGGCTGCCTGGGCACCCGTGTGGGGGGCCGCAGCAGTAACGCAGCTTCCCACTCAGCCTGGCTGTGTCCGTGAAGATGAACATCCTGCTCTTTGGGCCTGGACTTCTCTTCCTCCTCCTCCAACGGTTCGGTCTCCTGGGCTGTATCCCCAAGCTCTGCATCTGTGCCCTGCTCCAGGTGGGTCCCTGCTCGCATCAGCCACGGGGGCAGGCTGGCAGCCCCATCAGCAGGGGGTAGTGGGCTGCCCTGCCTGCATCGCAGCATCCTGCCTGGCTGTCCTGGGGGCTGGAGACCTCTGGATGGACATACAGTGGCACCGGCATCTGAGTTGGCCCCACACAGAAAGCTGGAGGTTGATAAATGATCTAATTCACGGGGCTCCCATCTTTGGCTGACTGTCCCTGTCACCCCATGCGGTGCTGGGGTTCTCGGGAGGTGGCAAGGGTGACGGAGACCTGGCTTACAGCTGCTGCGAGGGTGCTGGTGTGTCTCCGACAGGTGGTTCTGGGGCTGCCCTTCCTGCTGGTGAACCCCGTGGGGTACCTGACTCGCTCCTTCGACCTGGGCCGCCAGTTCCAGTTCAAATGGACGGTGAACTGGCGCTTCCTCCCAGAAGAGGTTTTCCAGAATCGGGCTTTCCACGCCATTCTGCTCCTGGCTCACCTGGCTGGCCTGGGGCTCTTTGCACTGCACCGGTGGCACAGGTGAGACCTGGGGTTCCCCACGGGTGCTGGTCCCCGTCAGCCCCCATGGTGCAGGATACGGGTCTGCGGCTCCCCTGCCCCTACAATGCTGCAGTTCTGAGGTTGCAGGCAGGAGTAGGGGAGAGTTACTGTTCTGTTTCGGGGAGCACGCTGCCCAGGGATTGTGGCTCACAGGGGAAAGTCAGGGTGGGAAAGACTTTCAGCAGCTGAGATCAATGTTTGTGCTTCCCCCTCAGGTCCAAAGAGAGCATCCTGGCTCTGCTGAAGGATCCTGCCGAAAGGAAACACGCATCCCCTCCCTTGACCGTCAACAATATCCTTTGGCAGGGTGGGCAGCAAGGAGGTGGGGAGAAGGCAGGGCAGGGCAGACCTTGGGCTCAGCAGTCGCAGGCTCCCGGTCCTGCGGTGCTGTCAGAACCAGCCTGTCCTGGGGGAAGGAGCTGTGCTGCACAGCTGGGGGAGCTGTTGCGGGATCGCACCTCCAGACTCCTGCGTTTGTCCCCTTAACGGCAGCCCACAGATCGTCTTCGTCCTCTTCTCCTCCAACTTCCTGGGCGTCTGCTGCAGCCGCTCCCTGCACTACCAGTTCTACGTCTGGTATTTCCACACGCTGCCCTACTTACTCTGGTGCACCCCTACCACGCGTTTGTCGTTTGTCCCCTTAACGGCAGCCCACAGATCGTCTTCGTCCCTCCAACTTCCTGGGCGTCTGCTGCAGCCGCTCCCTGCACTACCAGTTCACGTCTAGTACCAAGCTCGCCCACATGCCCCAGCACGTGCTGCCGGGGGGGGGGACCACCCGTCTGCTGGGGGGTCTGGGAGCGAGGGGGGGCTGGTGTGTCCCCCCCATGCTGACCCCCAGCTTTCCCCCCCTGCAGGGTGCTGCTGCTGGGCGTGATCGAGCTCTGCTGGAACACCTACCCCTCCACGGTCTGCAGCTCCCTCTCCCTCCACATCTGCCACGGACTCGTCCTGCTCCAGCTCTGGTATGGCACGGCCCCCCCGCCAGCGCCGCACACCCCCTTGCCGAGCAGGAGGCCCGCAGCCATCTCCAAGAAGGCCCAGTGAGAGCGTGGCTGGCCAGACGATGGGAACCGGCCTCTGGGACTGCCCCTTCTGCCCGCTCTTTCCCCACCTGGCTTCCAGGCTGCCCCCAGCCATCCCAGGAGGGCTGCAAGCCCTGGAACTGTGCAAAAGGGGCAGCATGGGGACCCCCGACAGGCAGGACTTCCCCAATAAAGGGGGCTTTGTGTGCCCTTCCCCGGCCGCAGCGTCCTCGTGCCGTGACGGTGTTGGTACGGCCGTGCCTTGGCCTGCCCCACCTGCGGGGAGGCAGAGCAGCCGCCGGGGCTGTGGGAGCTCCCTTCCCAGCCCTGGGAGAATGCTGCCCGGGGCAGGGGAGCAGCCTCTTGGGGTGAGGTTAAGACAGAGGATCTGCAAAACCGCTTTGCCTCAAGGTTTGAATCGCCTTGATGCAGGCCAGGGATCCCTCCAGCACAGCTTTTCCTAATCCCCTGTCTGCTTCCTCCCACGGGAGATGGTTGGGAAGGGGCTGACGCCCACCCACCCAGGACTCTGGTGAACCCCAGCGTGGCCTGAACAGGGCCGACGTCTCCCTGCCCGTAACAGAGATGCCTGTGCAGGCAGCACGGAGCCAGGCGTCTTTATTGGCCCCTCCAGTGGCCGTCAGACGTTGTTGGGGTTGTAGCACAGCATATTCAGCTTGATGTTCTCGTCCCAGTGACGCAGCAGCAGGAACAAGTGCCTGGCTGCCCCTTTGAGGCAGCCCACGTCCACCCCCTCGGGCAGCCGCTGCGCCTGCAGCCACGCGTCCGCCTTGGCCGCCACCAGCTCCCACTCCTCGAAGAAGCCGGCGCAGCGATGCTCCAGCCACGCCAAGGCCACCGCCGTGGCCCAGCTGGCATTCTCCAGGTCCTCTGACCCCGTGTCCTGCCAGCTCACGCCGGCCTCGGAGGGGGCGGCTGAGTGGGGGCCGGTGTCGGACTCTGAGCCGTGCCCGCTGTCCGCCTGCGCCCACACCGCTGCACTGGGCACCCCAGAGCAAGGGCTCGGGGGGGGGGGCGAGCCGGGCTGGGGGGCTGCGGCGGGCTCCTCACCCTCCTCGCCGCCGGGCCCTGCCTCGGGGCTGCTCCTGGCCCCCGGGGACGCAGGGCTGAGGCTGGCTCGGTGGGAGGCGTAGGGGGAGGCCCGGCGCAGGCGGTCCAGGGGGATCTGTACCACTTCGGAGAAACTCTCTGTGAGCTGGAACGGCCCCCGAGCTTGCTGCAGCTGCACCTGCAATGGAGGGGCAGGCAACCGGGGGGGCCAGGGAGGGACGCAGACCCACCACGGCCCCCAGCACTCAGTGGTGGGGGCTGCAGGAGTGTCCCTGGGGCACAGGGACTGTCCAATGCCTCCTCCCCCCCCCTTCCCCCCAAAAAAGCCAGCAAAGGCCCCCAGGGCTGTTCAAGGATGCAGCGGAGCTGAGCAGGCACCCACCAGGTTTGCATCCTCAGCTGGGTGCCGCTGCTGGTGCTGCCAGGCATCACCTGGGCGGCTCGGCTGCGACCCAGCAGGGAAGGTGCCTGCTCGGCCCCCCCGCCCCGGGTGTGATGGGGACAGGGTCCTTACCAGCGGGAGGTAGTCATGGCTGGCATGGTTGCTGGAGCGCTCGCTTTCCGGGCTGAGGCACTGCGGGCGCAGCACCAGGCTGGGCCCCCTGCGCCTACTCAGGCTAAACCTGTGGGGCAAACGGGTGAGATAACGGTAGTGATGTGTGGGGGGGGGGGGGGGCAATTCCTGAAGGGCAGCTGGACCACAGCCTGCTGCAGGGAAGGGGCTGGAGCACCAACCCCCCTCCCCCCCCCGCCTTACGCCGCAGGAGCTGGCAGGGGACGTTGGACCTGCAGCACCCAAGAAGTGGCACTGTCCTCCTCTCCCTGCAATGTGCCATTTTTTGGGCCCTCGCATCCCCCCACCCCCCCAGGCTCACCTGGAGCCAGCGATGCTCTCCGTGGATTTCTGGGAGCCCATGGAGGTGGTGGAAGGGCTGGTTGGAGGCCCTGCAAGGGGGGACGGCTGAGCATGGGGGGGCCATGATGCACCCAGAGGTGTGTCCCGCTCCCCCCCCAGCACCTGTGAGGGCGGTTCAGCCCATGTGCCCTGGACAGCAAGGGCAAGCGTGGGCACAGCAGATGCTCCAGCTCTCAGCTGCCAGCAACAGGGTGCTGGGGCCACCCCCCGTCCCCCACCATCCAGCCCTTGGCCCCCTCCACCCTGGACGCACCGTTCGAGCAGTTCTGCTTTTCCCAGCCATAGGTAGGGGAGGAGACGCTGGCTGGAGACCCGGGGGTCTCATCTCGCTCTGCAAGAGAGCAAAGACCTGAGGGCCCCTGGGCTCCCGGGACTCTCACGGCCCGGAGCTGCTGCCAGGGGCTGCTACGCTGTCCCCCCGTGTCCCCCCGCAGTGTGGGGCAGAGACCAATGCCTCTTCCCAGGCATCCACAGCGCTGCAGCTGGGACCAGCCCCACACAGCCGCAAGCTGAGGGTCCCCAGGGACCCCGGCGCTCAGGCAGGTCCTTATGCAGGTCAGCATAAGCCAATGTAAGGGCTCGGATCGGTACCTGCAGCGATGGGGGCCTCATCCTGCTCCTCCGCATCCCACTGCTGGCCCAGTCCTGCTGAGGAGCTCCTGTGGTGCCAGTTCCCTGCCGCGGCAGCTCGTGGCCGGCTGGCCGAGCCAGCTGCAAGGGACGGTGCCACCTCAGCCCTCCGTCACCTCACTGCTCCCTCCCCAGCACGCCGGGCCCCCCAGCCATACCTGTGCCCCACACCTCGGGGACTATGGGCAGGGCTGCCTGTGTGGCACCGTCCACAGGCACCAGGCGGGTGTAGAGAGAAGGCACGTTGCAGGCTTTGCTGGTTTGTGCGGCTTTCAGGATGCCGGGGCTGTGCTGGGGTGGGGGGGACACGCACCGGCACCCACCCTGCTCCAGCTCGGCTTCCCGCTGCGCTGCGTTCTCGTTGTCCCGGATGACGGAGCGTGCTGCCAAGTGGTGCAGCGGCTTGTCCCAGGCCTTGCCCGCCCGCCATTTCGCTTCCTGCCGGGTGGTGCCGCGCCTTCGCCCGGGCGTGGCCCGCCCGCCGCGGGGGGTCCTCCCTGCCCGGCCCCTCCCGGGGCTGCAGCAGCGACTCCAGCGAGGCCGTCACTTCCCAGGACACCGGCTTGCCAGCCCGCAGCGCGTGGATCACCTCCTGGCAGCGCAGGGGCAGGCCAGCATCGCCCAGGCTGGGCTTCCCCGGCTCGGGCACCGGCGAGGCGCTGAAGAGGTAGGAGGGCTCCACCAGCATGTCCCAGTCCAGGTGCGTGGGCGAGAGGAGGTTATCTGGGCAACGGCAAGACGTGGCCTCAGCGAGGCGGGGGGGCACCTGGCTCTGTCCCCGCCGCCCTCGTCCCCTGGGAGCCAGCACGCACTTGACTCCACTGTGCTGGGCTGCAGGCACCGTGACTGGGGTCCCAGCTTGTCCAGCCGCCCCTCCAGGGACTGGTTCCTCTTCTGTGACACCTTCTCCAGTGCCTGGCACAGCCGGTGGGCGTCCAGCTCCCCATGCGGCGAGGAAAAGCTGCGGCTGGCCAGGGCGGCGCGTGCCAGCGCCTTCTTCTGCCGCACCAGCTCCTCCGTGCTCAGGGCCACCGTCACCTGCGGAGGGGGGAGGCTGACGGCGAGCCTGGCAAAGGCACCGGCACAGAACCCAGACTAAGCCAAGCCGTGATGGGGCACCTGCGTCCCCGGCCGGCTGTTGGCCAGCCACAGGCTTGACGCCCAGCCCCGCCACTCTGCAGGCTGGCACCCGGCAGCCTCCCAGGGCAGCGGGTGATGCTCGCCAGGCTCCTCGTACACATGGGAAGGACTGACAGCACCGAGACAGGAGTTTGCAAACATCCCTGGGGGCTGACTCAGGCTGACGCCGAGGCAGGAGGAGTTGGCGGGGATTTTCATGTGTGCGGGGCACTTAGCTCAGTTGCTCAGGCTGGATGATGCTACAGTGGAATGCAGTCCCCGGCACAGAGTGATGTCCCCGCACTGAGATGCTTCACCTAAAAGCTACGGCAGGGCAGCGGCGCCCATGCCACCTCTCCCCCCGGCAGCAGGGAGCCTGGGGAGGATCGTTTACACTGCAGGGAAATCACTTACGCTTGACATTTCGGCAGCAAAGGCCACCAGCTGTGCTGTTGTGCGGCGGGAGCCGGTTATCTAACCCGTGCCACGGGGAAGGAGCATGTCCCGGAGCTGGGTGACAGCTGGCCTCACCCGGCCTTGGGGCCATCGTCACCGGGGGAGCTGCTTCTCCCCATCCCAGTGACCTGGCTGGGTTTTAAACCCAGGTATGAAGCAGTGGGGATGTTGCCCACCGCTAATGAAATGTCGGGCAGTGTTGGCTGAGGGCTGAAGGAGCCGGGCAGGAGGTCAGCCATCCCACCCCCTCCTCTCCAGCTTGGCAGATTCATTACCTGATGCCAGCCCAGCTAGTTTCACTTAATTTCTGTAGCATCAACAAGGATCTGAGCTGGCTAGGGTGGTTTGCAAGCCACCCAGTTGACTACTGGCCCGGGGAGCTGGGAGACCAGCTTCTTGGTCCCCAGCTATTCCATTCCAGTAGGACAAAACCACCCGAGGAGCCTCCTCGTGGCACCCACAGCTGATCCTTCCTTAAAATCCAGGCTACAACGCTCTGGTTTCCAGCCCGGTGGCCACATGTCCGGGCACAATGGGACAGCCAGACCCCAGCTGAGCCAGGAGCAACCCCCACATGTGTGAGCCCTTGTACCTCTTTGGCATCCTTACCTTGGTGCCAGCCGGGGCAGAGGGCAGCGGGGCGGATTTGGTGGAGGACTCACAGAGGGACAGGCTCTTCTGGCCCTGCTGGGAGGCGGCATCGGCACCGGGGGCCGAGGAGCCGCCCTCGGGGGCCACGTCGCGGGAGCCAGTGGACTCGCTGCTGGTGGAGCTGCGGGAGAGCAGCCCCCGGCTGCGGTCGGTGCTGACAGAGCAGTGCGTCAGGACGTACTGCTCCTGGATGTAGGAGGGCTGGTAAATCCGCTTCCAGATGTCTCCCCCCGAAATGGGATCCGCACCTGCCCAGCAAGCGCACACCCCATCAGACCACGGCTCCCACACCTGCCCCTTGCCCCGGCCCCGGCCCCACTCACTCTGCTCTGACACCTCTGTGCCCCCAGCGGAGAGCTCCAGGGAGGCGTCCCCGGATCCCGGGGTGCTCTGGGGCGGCTGGCGGCTCTCTCCAGGACTGGGCACCTCCTCCTGGGAGGGGAAGGCTGAGCCCCGGCGAGCCCTTTCCCGGTCCTGGCAGAGAGAGGGCACCGCCGTCACCCCCCCGGCACCGGGAGAAGCCAGCGGCACCGGGAGCGTGCCATCCTCCCCATGCCAGGGCGGTGCCGGTCGTACTGGCGGGCGCCTGTTGCGGAAGCGGGCGATGCTGTAGAGGACGCAGTAGCTGACGAGGCAGTCACCGGGGTAGAGGGCCGGGAGCTCGGTGGGCGAGAGCAGAGCCTCCATGCTGTCGGGGACATACCAGTCGATGGTGATGTCGCTGACGGCTGGCTCGATTGCCTTCTTCAGGGACTTGATCAGCTGGGGCGGGGAGAGGAGCCAGTGTCAGGCACCGCGGTAGCCCCCACACCCCCAGCACCCCCCATCCCTGCCCGGGCGTTACCTTGGGCTGCAGCCTCTCGGCCGGGCTCAGGAACTCAGCACAGCCCCGGCTCACCTTGGCCATGCCCTTCAGCAGCTGCCGGCACGCCCGTGGGCCCATGCCGAAGCTGAAGCACCTGCAGGAGAGAGCTAGGTGATGAAGAGCCATGGCCAGGCCAGTGCCAGGGGCTGGGCAGCCCGGCAGCAAGCCCTGCAGCAGGGATGGGAAGGGGTGTTTGATAGCCAGAGATGCCGCCTCGGCTGCATGCCAGGTTGGGACATCCCAGGGGAAGCCGAGCCGGTGGGGTTGGGGGATGTGATGGGCGAAGGACACCCTCGGGGCTGGCGGAGGTGAGATTTGGGGCTGCAGAAGGAGAAATCGGTGGGAACAGCCTAGGGGACATGGAAAGCACCGTGACCTCGCCACGGTGCCGGTGCCGTACCTGACGGTGCTGGCCTGCCTGCGCACCAGCCGGAGGATCCTACCTATGTTGCCCACCGCTGCGTTGGTGAAGAGGAAGAGCTGGCGGGGGTAGCCGTGGTGGAGGGGCTGTGCCAGCGCCCAGCCCAGGGCTGCCAGCAGGTTGGTGCTGCCCATGTCTGCCCGCAGCCCACCGAGATGCTCGTAGGCGCGCCGCAGCGTCTCCTGCCCGCACGGAGAGCCAGCCTCGCAGCAGTCCCCCAGCTCGCCAGCCCCAACCCCGTGACAGGGAGCCGGGAGGGGGGACTGAGAGGGGCTGGTGTGGGGCTTTGCCCGGTGACACTCACGTTGCTGCAGAGGCGGCTGGACGGGAAGAGTGGCTTGACTTCGGCGCCGAAGCTGGCAATGTTGAGCAGCGTCCCCGACGGGAGGCTCTTCAGGGCCACCAGCAAAGCCTCCTGGGGTGACAGCAGGGACCGGGGAGGGCTGCTAAGGACTGGCCACTTGCAGAGCATCCCCAGCCCCGCGGCGCCCCGTGGCTGTGCTTCACCTTGACCTTGTTGAGGTCGGGGCCGCTCATGGTGCCGCTGCAGTCGACGAGGAAGAGGACCTCACGGGTGACGCTCTGCAGGTCCCCAGGGACACCCTCCGCCACCGGGCAGAAGTTCAGCATCAGCACAGGGTTGGGGAAGATGTCCTTGTGGAAACGCTTCTGCACGAAAACCACCTGCGAGCCAGGCGGGCCGAGGGCTTTCTCACACCCCCCAGCCCACACAGAGGTCTTCCTCGCCCCCCTCCCACAGCCTCCCTCCTTCCTCCTCCTCCTCCTCCCTGCCAGGCCCTGCTGGGCTGGTGGCAGCCATGCCCTGTCACCTGTCTCTCGCCACTGCCATCCTTCCTGGCAATCCGCACGTAATCCCGGCGGCTCCGGACGTGGGCCTCGTACTCGGGGTACGTCATGGTGCCGTCCTCCATCACCAGGTGGGGGTGGTGGGGTTCTGGGGGCCACAGGGGGGGTTCAGAGCCACCCTGCGCCACCGGGGGGGTGGGGGATGCTCCAGATGCTTTTGGGGTGGTGCCCCATCTCCCCCAAACGTGCCAAGGGCACTGTCCCCCCTCACCGCAGGGGTAGAGGATGATCTCCAGGTCCCTGTCGTAGCGATGGGGCTCAGCCAGCGTGACGCAGGTGGTGGCGGCAGAGCTGGCCCAGGGGTAGGCATCAGCTCGCAGGGTGTGGGACGGGCTCTCCAGCCCTATGAGGGGAAGGAGGTGGTGGGGCAGCCCCTCGTGCCCCCTGCCTCGACCCCCATGCCTGTGCCGGACCTGACGCCGCGGCAGTGGCTGCTCCCTGCCGGCTCTAACGGGATTAACTGGGCCGGCGGCCAGGAGCGTGTCCCCACCGCCCTGCATCCCCTCCTCACCCGTCCTGTCCCCTGTCCATCGCGTCTCCCCGGGGAAGGAAGCTGCTGACCCAGAGCTGCCCAAAGCCATGCACGGGGTGACTTTGGGGCGTTCCAGCCCCAGGGGTGGGATGGCTTCTTTGTGGGTAGGGAGTGCAACAGGCTGCCCGGGAAGGGGGCTTTTGTCCCCCTAGAAGCACGGAGGGACCAGGGGACGCCATCCCAGGGACTGTCACCCATATTTCGGGAGGTTTTACCCAACCAACCGACACCGCTTGAGCCACCCCCCTACCTGCCAGCAAGCAGGGGCCCTTCACCAGCAGCTCAAAGGCAAACTCGTAAGGAAAGGGGTTGCAGGGTCGTCCCCGAAAGACATCCACGCTCTCCGCAGGCGCTGTGGGGGATGGCTGGCTCCGGGCACCAGGCCCCCCGAAACAGCTGGTGGGGCTGCAAGGGGAGAGGCAGTGATGGCTCCCACCCCCCTCCCCGCTCGCCCAGTGTTGGCATCCCCCCCCCGGTATGGCGGAGACTGAGGAAGCCATGAAAATCACCATAGGGCCAACCTGTCGTCACACAAGCTTGCCGGCTCGCTCTCGGGGACGGCGGGGACGTGGGGCGTGAGGATGGGGGGGAGGAGGAGGCGCAGGGCCCCGTCCGGCAGCGTGGCCAGCTCCTGCGCCGTGCTCAGGGTGACGGCCAGGCTCTCCGCCGGGCACAGCGTGCCCGTGACGATGACGAAGGTGGAGCGCTCTGTGTCTTCGTCCAGGACGAGGTGGCCTGGGCAGGGGAGGGACACAGGAGGGTCAGCGAGGTTGGGGAAGGCGGGTGTTAATTGCACTAATTACTCTCAAAGGGGACAACAGAGGCCATGCAAAGGGTAAAGACCCAGGAGAGGCAGACGGAGGGGAAAGGGGACGGGGCTGCCCTGGCACAGGGAGCAGCAGCAGTCCTCATGGAAAAGCAGTAGTGAGGATGAGGAGCCCTCCCTGGGCTCCGAGCCTCCTGGCCAGGAGGACCCAACAGGATCGCCCGTGCCACGGTACTTACCGCCGGCACAGCGGCGCAGCCGGCCGGGGCTGGGGCCACACTGGAGGCAGCAGTCCTGCGCTCGGTGCCGGTTCTGGACCTGGAATGTCACCCGCCGGCTGCCCACCACCGCCTCGAAGCCAGCCACCACCTCCGACTCCTCCAGCGGGTAGATAAAGACACCTGCGGGCAGGAGAGAGCCCCGAGGCAGATCTCGGCACGGACACCGCCGCGGTGCTGGCCGGCCCATGGCAGCACCACTAAGAGCAGGGTAATTTAAATGCACGGGAGCTGGGCAACACACAGGAAGGACCCAGAGCCTCACTAGCCCGGAGGAGGGCAGGGAGGATGAAATCCCCCTCTTCCTCAGCATTGGGAATATTTTTGCCTGGCCCCACTCTTCTCTTGCCCGCAGGGCGATGCTGGGTGTCGGTGGTGCCCCCACCACTGCTGACCTCGCCTTCGCTCCCCAAAGCGAGCAAGGTTTGGGGGCCAGGACACAGGTGGGCTGGAGATGGGATGCTCTCCAGCATGGGTGTTTTTAGGGGGCCATGCAGGCAGCCCGGGTCACTGCCAGCCCTGATAGCTCCCCCTTACCTTCCACAGGCTCCTCATGGGGGTTGGTGTACACGAGGTGAGCGGTGATGCTCAGGGAGTACCCGTTGGCACAAGCCTTCACCCTGGAGCTCTTCAGGGGCAGAGCCTCCCAGGAGGAGAGGGCGTACAGGCCCGGCATGGTCCCTTGGCAGGCAGCTGCGGGCAGAAGGGAGGCAGGTGCTGGGTGCTCGGGGGACAGGGTCTGCCGGAAAGGGGTTTGTGCATGCAAGCTGCTTCCATGTGCCCAGCCTGCAAGGGTGGAGCAGGTCCCCAGCCCTCCCCAGCCCGGGGATGCTGCTCTGCAGCATCCACAAAACACATGGACCTGGACCCAGGTCTCTGCTTGGACCCCAGCCCACCTGCAAACCAGGCCTGGAGCCACAGAAGCCCACAGAGAGCTCTTCCACCCCATGGGTAAATAAACCCAGCTGCTGGGCAGGAAAACGACTTCCTGTGGGCAGCAGCAGTTACACGCAAGCCCTGAGTCCCGGCAGACAAGCAGGGACTCCTAGACACGATGGATAACAGCCAGCCACACGCAGCCTATCTCTTGGCCACCCCACAGCAGCTCGGTGGCTCCAGAGCCTCCCCAGACCATCTCCCGCACTGGCTGGGAGAGGAGCATCTGCTGCTCCCATCTCCATCCACCCACAGAGGTTACCAGGGTAATTTGTTTAAAAAAAAAAAAAGAAAAAAAGGCGAGAAGCCCACAGCGTAACTAGGACAAAACAGCGAGCAGTGTTTGCTGGGGGTTTAATAATTAACAACAAGGTCAGCGCTGCACTGAAGAGCAGCACAGAGGGGAAGGCACTGCAGAGGGGAGCCCAGCTCGGGGGACAAAGCTCTCTGCCTCTGCACGAGTGATGCTCTGCCCAGAGATGGACGCGTGCAGCATCCCACCCTTCAGCAGCGGTCGTGGGAGGAGAGGTGGCTGAGGATGCCTTCCAGCCAGGGCACCAACCCGCTCCACACCTCTCTTCCCCTTGGGAAAACCACCTGGGAGCAGCATCCCAAATGATTGCCCGGAGCCAAGGCATCTCTCTAACATTGCCTTACCCCGTGCCATCGCATATTCACATAAAATATTTGGGTCAGCCTTAGCCCTGCCTCTCCGCGGATACTGTGCATGGGTCCCGCTCCAGGCATGGGTCTGCACCTTCACACTGTATCTCCTGCCTGCCCCAAGCGCCTGCTACCCAACGGCAGTGAGGTCCCCGCGTCACGCTGTGTGCTGGCGCTTCAGCGTGCAACGTGCCCGGGGCGAGGACAAGGCCAGGTAGAAGTGAACCATCTGGTCCCTCCACTCCGGTGGCCTTCGTCCCAGGAACGGCTCATATGAGCATCGGTAACAGGAGGCTCGGGGTGCCCTCAGCACACAGTCACAGGGTGCCTCTCAGAGCATCCTTGAAAGCGGAGCAGGGCTACATCCTCGGAGGCAGCACCAGGGCTGAGCCCATGGCTGGCACAAGGCAGGGAGCCCCTGAGAAGCAGAGAAGTGCATTAGCAACGTGGCTGCATCCCAGGAAAATAAGTCCATTACACTGGAGGGGAGCTGTTTATCTGCTCAATTGGCATCGCAGTGTTATGCTGGCAGGTCCTGGCCACCCCACCACCCCCCGCCATCTCCAGTCCTTCACCCCACATGCAGGATGCTGCATGCCCTGCTGAGCCCCCCCAAATTGCTATCCCAGCACACAAGGCAGCACAGGGGCAATGCACAGCCCGGTTTTCTTCCACGCTGGCCGTGCCACCATCGGGAACATCATCAGCCGGGTCCTGCCCTGACCGCAGCGCCCAGCTGGGCTCCAGGGACTGGGACTCCCCCAGCCCAGCCGCATCAAACCATTAAAGACAGATTTCACCCCAAAGCCCTTCCATTTGTTCCCAAGGCACCCAGCTTAATGCTCAGCAACGCGCCTGCTATTTGCCGTGCCACCCATTGGCCGGGGCACCGCCGGCTTGTTTACCAGGGACTTACCAGAGAAGCTGTCCTGGCTGCTTTTTATCACTTCTCTTTACATTTACTCTCAGAGAGTAAACAGGGCCCATCTGGCCCTGCCACGCTTTGTGCTGGCTGCTCTAAGCCCCGTGCTAATGAATAAAACCAGACCGGACGGTCTTCGCCCCGGCCTCTTCATCCTCTTCCCCTGGGACAGCAAACTGTCCCTGCGTACCAGCGCGGTATCACCAACAGGTCCCTGCCCCCCCCCCCATCCCCAGCATGGTTGCCAGTGCCTTCGCAGCCCCCTGCTTTCCCCCCTCCACCTGCGCCGTGCCGGCAGCAGAAAACCCTCAGCGAAGGCAAGAAGGAGCCAACTCTTCTCTAGGTCAGCAAAACTTAACATTTCTCTTCTCGCCTGTGGGCAGGTTGAGTTTTTCCAGCGAGGCAGCTGCCACAAGCCAGGCGCCTGAGCCCAGCAGACCCTCCTTAGCTGCCTGCGAAGTTGTCAGAGTTTCACCTGCTGCAGCGACAGCCACCCGCGCCGGGGTGCAGCGTGGTCCTGGGGAAGGCTGAGGCCAGCCCTGGCACAGGCAAACCCAGTGGAAATTTCCACTAGTGACAGAGGCACAGGCCGGTATGAGAGGGATGGAAGGAGAGGAGCCCAAGCCTCTGTGGCAGCACCCGAGGCAAGGCATCGCTGCCCCTCCTGCTCGCCCGTGTTGCCCGCTGCTTCCCTCGCCTCCCCTCCCTGCGGAACGTTCCTGCATTGCTCCACTGGGATGGGGCACAAGGGCAGGAGAGCAGGATCTGTCCCGACTCCTGGAGCAGGGAGGAGGCCACAGAGGCAGGAGGTTATGGCCCTGCTGCCCAGGGCTCGCAGGGCACACCACTTTGCAGAGAGCCCAAAGAGGAGTGGAGGGGAAAGGGATTTCCCTGGTGGCTGCAGGTGAAGGGGACGGGGCGAAGGGCTGCCTGGCACCACACTCGGGTGGGCTGTCCCCAGCCCGAGCCTCCAGCCTGCGGTGATGTCCCCTGGCTGGCACTGCTGCTTGGTCTGCTGGGAAGTCGAAACAGAGAGCAGAGCCCGCTGAACCCACACCCCCCCCCCCACACACGCACGTGCATACATGCACACATGCCCCGGCACATGCACCGCATCCAGAACCACCACATCCAGGACCTGTGCTGCTGCTCTCGCCTCCCTAGAGCCACAAAAACCCCTGGAAAACCCTAGCCCCATGCCAGGGAACAGGAGTTACTTGCCCTCAATGCACTGTAACATAGGCACACCCCCAAAAAATGTCCAGCCCCCCTCCCCGGATCCCCCCCAACACAGGCACGTCCTGGCAGGGCAGCCCTGCAAAAGGGTCCTGCTGCTCCTCCC